TTTTTGTTGGTTCCAGGTAAGTTATGGCTTCTTAATCTCGTAGATAATATTTACTGTTTTACTGATACTAGGATTTTAGGAGGGATGTTTGGATTTTATTTTAGTGTTGCTTATGTTTTGGCTGTGACTATTAGCAACTAATGGGATCACAAATAAAATAAGGGATCGATTGAATACATTTTAGGATTTAACATGAACGCGTATTTTTTATTACTTTCTTTTAATTTCTTCTCAGATCATGATACATATTTGATACTCTTTATTCCCGTGACATTTTGTCTGTTAACCAATAGCCTTTGGTTCTTACTTGTACTGGATTCACGATTCTTCTGATATTGATATTTTAAGGATTCAGGGATAATGATAACGCTGCCCTGGCCAAAGTTCATAGTCGAATTAATGTTCTAACCACGGCTCCCTCTTTAATTGATCATTTTTACGCTTCAGAATGAAAGCTGTGCAACTGTCTGTCATATACCTTTCCATTTTCATAAGCGTTTACTGGAACTATGGTGAGTGGTTACTTTGAAACAAACTGTCATTGTGGTCCAAGACTACAAAGCCGTAACATAAACTCAGCCTCAGGATGAACGTTATTTGCATGGTGCCTATTACACTTTAATTTTCCCTTATAAGAACTAGAAGTTTAAAACGAGAAATATCCAGGGCCGGGTTGCTCAACACACAATTAACCTAACCAGGGGTTAATGTAAATTTTTAACTTAGTTTATAATTGTGCAAAGGGAATTTATTATTTTTAATTTTGTCCCGTTAGTTTCGAGTGATATTGAGATACGAACTAACAAAACGTTAACTATCATATGCGCTCTAAGCCAAGGTTGCCTCTAAATCCTATAATAACGTTAGCCCCCTTTTCGAACCCGGCCCAGTTGTTCAGTTACTCACTACGTATTGGAAGATCTCATGCTATAAAAACTGGAAAAAATGAAGAAAATGAAAACCTAGTGTAAATACTGTGTAAATTTGTAAAATTCACATGGGGTAGAAGGAAAACAATTATGTTCAGAGGAAGATTGGCTCTCGGGAAAAACCGAGAACCAAATCCAGTTGACAGCATAGTGGAGAAGTTTGAATGGAAAAAGGTTCATATACGTAATCGTAAGTTCTTAATATGTTCTTCTCTTGATAAAGTCCAAACAACAAAGCGAGGCTCAGTGAAGGGTACTAAAAAGGACCAGTTCACCATAACAGGAAATGGAACAACTAAAGGAGGTAAAATGAAGATATTCGTTCACGTGCAGACTACTGGCAAAAATCCAAATAAAGCAGTGCCAGGTAAAAAACAAGGGAAGGAAGCTCCCAATGTAAAACTTGGTCAGTCTGGTGAAACTCCGAGTCCATCACCTACAACGACACCACCGATGTCTACTCAGGTCACATCCGCATCACCAAAACCCAAGAAAGGGAAACACTTTCAAGTCACACCGAAACCACCAATCAGTGGCAAAATCCAAAGCCTGAAACCCAGCCAAAGTAAGAAACTCGCACCAAGTCAGAGTATGAAAAAACATAGTGAAATAAAATCGGTATCAAGTTCAGTAAATAATGCAGCGAGCTCCACTGTGGACTCTGCTAAAGTCACACCAACACCCTCTCCGAATCTTAAGTCCTCTTTAACGACCAGTACTGGTGTCCTTCCCTCTCCTAACTCTGCAATGTCCACGCCTTCGCCTCAGTCCAGCGGAGCGGTGCCGGTGCAGAGCAAGCAAGCAGCTACAAGTGGCTTACCCGGATCCTCATCGCAACCTACAAACAAGCAAACTAAAACTAGTCGGTCATCGGCATCTTCACCGCTACCTGATAAATCTTCGAGTCACGTCTCAGTGCAGCCAAGTGCTACAAAAAGTGTAGCTATTCAATCTTCATCTATGTCCACTTTAGCTCCTTCTTTATCTGTACCATCAGCTGTAATCTCTTCAACTCCTCTTTCCATTACCCCAAGTGCGTCAAAAACAGTAGTTAATCCAGCTTCATCTCCCGCTAGTCTTGGTCCTTCCTCGACACTGCCACCTCCAGTTAAATCTCCTGGTGCAGGCACATCAAGCGCTGCAGTTACCCAGACATCCTCTCTCCTTGGGTCCAGTCCTTTCTCCTCTCCTGGATCAACCATTTCACCATCAAAGTCTTCCCTAACAAACACAGTAGCTACGAAAAACCCAACAACTTCTCCTGATTTTACATGTAAGTGATTTATTTCCTCGCAATTTTTTTTAACCTTTAAAATCTGTCAGTTTATATATCTGCGCGCATGCACTCCTCAGCATACGAACAGCAACCGTTCAATGCCAGTTAAATTACAAAGAAACCTTGGTGAATCTGAATCCTGTCACTAGAAATCTTAGATATCGTGAAAAGGTGTACCAGAAATAATTGTGTGGTTTGATATACTGACCACCAATACTGAGATCGAGCGACTTGAACAAAACCTTTTGATGATCTCGCAAGCTGACTTTAACATCGCTATGTTTCTTTGTAACGCCACGAGGGATACCATAGCACGTTCCCCAAAGAGAGCTACACTAACATCAAGGAATGCATGTGGAACATCTTTTCCCTTAATTTGTCAATAGGTGTTCAAACCATTCGAGAAGTGACATCATCATACACTTGAGTCATGACTAACTACATAATACAAATATTTAGCCAAGCCTAAGACTGTAGCTCAAGTTGGTAATAGCCCTCTACTTTGTTGAAACTCTCAGCAAGCTCTAGAAGAGTTTATTGACAACAATTGAGGGACCAGTAATTTTATTAGTTGGGAAGGGGATGGGGAGAAAATTATTAGCGAGGGGTTTGTTTTTGATGTTATAATTGTTTTACGTTCGTTCAATACCTGAAGTCTTGAACTGATCCTTTCTCACAGTTTCCCGAGACGAGCATATAGCCCTGGATGAACACAACTTCTTCCGAAACTTACATAAATCGGTTCCACTCAGTCTTAACAAAGATATGGTATTGGAGGCACGCAAGTTCGCCAAAAAGATATCTGTAACTGGAAATCTCACACATGAATCGCCTGATAAACTGAAGCAAATAGGTCAAGGAGAAAATCTTGGATTGGTATGTTCTAAGGTTGAACTCTCAGCTGCGCGGGTTGTAAGGAAAGTCATAGACACATGGTAAGGTTTACACAAATAAAGATACCCTACAGGGATTCTGTTATTGTACTTTATCGAAAATCGCTGAATTTACATATGCACCGTGATGGTGCAAGATAGTAAGGTATCAAAAAAGCACTTTGATAATCCCTAGACGCACTGCTCACTCACACGGCGTACAAAAAAGATTTTCAAGGATGAATTGGCAACCTCCGTTTGACGTTCGTTGAAGACATATCCAGGGGTGAAAAGCGGTTTTCAAGAAATTGGGGTCTTTCACAAACATGTCTCATTTTCGCGACAAATTCAAGACGTTTAAACCATGATAAGGGGTCTGCATGTGAGGAATTACACAATAGAAAATTCAATTCAAAGAGCATTTACAGGTCCGAACAGGTATCTACTAGGAAAGAGCAACTCGATTTTATTTCTGATTTCCTGCTCTTATTCCACTTGTAGGCACAGAGAGGCGTGTAAATATAACTTTCAAGATCCTGACCCGATGTCAAAAAAAGCAGCCCATTTCACGCAGCTTGTGTGGGGTGCTTCCAAACAACTCGGCGTCGGTGTTGCTGCGGCAAAAAATGCGGAAAAAAACTGCATCTACGTTGTTGCTCGTTACAAGCCTATGGAAGCCTTAAAGACCAAAGAGCAGCTTAAGACTAATGTTAAAAAAGGATTATTTGATGCTTCAATAGACTGTGCCGCTACCTCAAAGAAAAAGTTTTTTATCGCTGTTTAAAATCATTGATTCTTTTCCGCTTGGTCGCCGAACCTTACTCGTTAATTGGAGGGTAGTGTTAAAAAAACGCGTCAGTCAAAAGCATAGTGTAAGAAGAATAAACCGTAAAATTCTAACTAATGACTTTTTGTTGGTTATTGTAACATCAAAAGAAATGTGAAGTACCGCTCCTAATTAAGCATCGCTCTAAATTTCTTGAATTGCTATCGAATTTCAAAGATTCGTACTCTTAAATAGCAATGTTGATATTCATAAGGGTTCAGATCCCCTTTAAATTTATCTACAATTAGTGAGTGTCAAATACTTGTCAAAGTAACAAATTCTGTGAATTGGAGCGAAAATTAACAAGCAATGATTTATATTAACAGTATTCACAACAGGTTCTACTGGCTATGGTTTTCTCAAAGCTCTTAACTGGTCAGGGAATGTCAAATACTTTATTGCGGCTCAGTGGTTCACAAAGGCCCAGTACGTAGAGCAGGCAACCGTCAGTTTTATATTGTCTTTTCATGGTAAAGCGATGTAGATTGTCGAGTGGCTATAAAAGTTAATAAAATAAATGAGGAGATGATGAAATATGCAGAGCAGATCACTAGGGTAATGAATGAAGTTTTTGGCTCACAAATGATGATTAAAAGCTGTAACTATTTTTTGCTTTGCCCGCAGTGATCTTTAAATATAAACAAGCTAGGCAACCCATCGTGATTCGCTCGCAGCACCTACGAAATACGACATTTTAAAGTTAAGTGTAGTTATCATTTTGAAACTTCGACTTTCTTGTAGAAGCTTGCTGAAATTTTCTCCGTCCACAATCAACTGTTCTATTTATGTCAATTGCCAACGAAGGTTTTTCTTTGTTTTGTGTTTATCCCAAAATATCACATTCCTTTTTTCGTTTTAAATTCTTTCACCCCCACCAATAAATTAATTATAATGAGTAGAAGTTACCGGGCATAACTTCAAGGTTTGTGGACGGCTGAGTAGTGAACCTCGACTTCACTCCTCAAGGTGGCCGGTCTAAGATATAAAGTTGGGAGACCAGAAATGACGATGATTGAATTTCACCTTTGAATACCTTCACCTGCTGATATTGGTGGCACAATGTCGGATGGGCGTGACTACTAAAAAACTTTACGACTGTTAGAAAAAGAGACAAACATGACATCATGGTAATCACCAACACACCGAGAACTATGTTCGGTTTATATACGTTGGGTAGTTAATTGGTGCCGTTAGAGTGGTGTCCCCATAGACATCGTTTATATAAAGGTTAGTCGAATTTTCTTCGAGTAAACGAAAGTGACAATTTTAATTTATTATTTATTTGATACTATTTACAAATACTTATTTCTTTCGTAACCTTGACTCAAATAGAAAATTTGTTTGGATTCGGAGGGGAGTTAAAGGCATCATTATTTCCTCAGCCTTCAGAGCGTCGCTTCAGAAAATACAAGTGCACAAGCCCCCAAAATAGAACCACTTTTTGTTGAAGTATTTTACCGTTTCAATAACATGTTAAATCAGAATAAATTATATACTTTTCCCAATCCAAGACTAGAGGAACTGAGAGAATGAAACATTGTATTTTGATTGTTGAAGTTTATAATGACGTTCCGTAGAATTGCAAGAAAGCTGTCTTTCATGGGTGGATCTTAGAGCAAATATCATGAAAACGAGGAACGGTGGTTTATTGTCACAAATTAATTTTGAGTCAGACTCATTTTTTTATTCTTTTTTTTCTTCGAACGCAAAGGAGGAATCACTGGATGCACGTTCTAGTAAGAATTTGGGTCAGCATGGGTGTATTCACGTTCCACCACACAATGTGGGCATGTATTTTGCACTGTTTCGTGGTTACACTGGGTAGCACAATTTCCGCTACAACAGGTAAATAGAATGATATCGCGGTAGAAGCTATGAACTAATAATTTCTTGCTTAAGATGCCCTTCCACAATCCTGTCCGTAAGATGTAATATCTTCATCGCATACCAAAGTATCCTGACGAATTTGCAAGAAAATTCATAGCAACTAGAAGGGAAATTACACTACCCGTACTGCACAATTATAAATTTCATTCATCTCTTCAGCTACGGCCTCTGGATTATCTCTGAGAGATTTTGACAAGGTGGATAAATTTGTCCCGGAATCGATATCAGGAAAACAAAGGATGACAATACCGCATTTTTTACAAAAGTTTAACGGAGATTATTCACTGAGTTCTGCTTTGAGATTGCCGTTAAAGCACAGGATAATTTCACAGAAGTCAAACGCTTCGAAAACACAGTTGCATCATCCTTCAGGTAAGAATTCATTGCCTTTCTACAAGGTGAAGCAAGAAGTTAACGGCAGGTTACAAAATGGGTATGACAATAAGCAAATGCAAGACCTTGGACACCAGAGAGGAAGGAATGGCTATAATAATACCAGTAACACCCACAAAGCACTTGAAATGGTAGGACCACCTCTTACCCTCAATGCTCAATTGAAAGGGCGCAATACACCTCACAATGGTAGGATGGGGGAGTTGTTTCACTCATCAAAAGGTCCTGTTATACCAACCGCAAGGGTTGTGGGAAGAAAACCAAAGAAAGACAGTCCTCTCACGAATTACAGCAACAAAAGATTGCCTCTCACAAAGCAATTGAAGGACGCATCAGCTCTAAGAGAGAAGACGCCTTTAGACGAAGAAATAATCGTGATGGGAGCGCCATTAATATTCTCTAGAGGAAATAAAAATGTTCTCACCATCTCAAAACATACGGAAGGAAATGCAAGTAACATTTTTCGGAATAGAACTACTTCCTTTCATCAGAAAGCTTATACCCCTCAGAAAATTCAAAGAGTGAATAAGACAAATACGTCTCTGAATCAGTTGGCTTTGCATACCAATACGACACTTAGAAATGACAAGGAGAGTAGTTTAGCAATGAGTCCTAAAAACATCCAAAATCACACCCCTTCTGCTGGGAGTTTCCACAAACAAGAAAATAATAAAATGGAAAATCTCTTGAGACACAACCGAAATAAAACTTCAAATCAAAGCGGAAGTCATAAAGAAACATTTGGAAATAGAACAGTAGCAATCGCAGGTAATTTTCTTCCTAATAACGTAAGTTTAAAGCATCTTGACTCGGCTTACTTTGACAAACAAACATATTCTAAAAGTGGGAATCAACTCCAGAGCATAGAACAGAAACAAACAGACTTTAACTATGAGACTGAACAGGGCTCTAATGCTATTATTAAAGAAGAAAGCCTTGGTAATAATACTTCTGGTCACCAAGAATACAACGCAAAAGAAAATCACGGCAGTGAAGAAACCAACTCCATATCCACAGATAAGGTTGGTTACGGACAAGAAAACCTTCCACCTTTTCCTGAAGAAAATCCTGAGGAAGGAGAAGCGGATGGTCAGTTTCAAGGTAAAGCGATAACCCCAGCTTCAAACCAGAGGTACATGCCAGTTGATGACTTTGGATCCCCTTTTTATGGAAACGAGACAGGTAATTAAAAGCGTCTTTTGAAGTTTGACTAGGAATCTTGATACTTATATAGACTACTAATAGCTAACGGGAGTACACTTGTAAACTTAAAGGCAGGATTATTATTCATCAGAGCCTTTAATCATAATTACCTCATATTTCCAATATGATACGTAGCTGTTTTAAGATCAAATTATATTTCACGTCTGTTTCCGCTACTTTGCTTAGTTTGCGTTCAAAATTAGTCGCCATTGTGAAATGGAACGTCCGTTGACCTTCATTTCACAGACGAGTACTTTCAGCGAGACGCCCTTGCCGCTCACAACAGGTATCGAGCCTTACACAATGCTCCTCCTCTGCAACTAAGCCAAGAGCTGTCCGCGGAGGCTGAAAAGTTTGCCAAAAAACTAGCTAGAATGGGTGTTGCGCAGCATGAACTAAACCGTAACCTTCGGAAGGAGAGTGAAGGTGATAATGTGGCAAGAGGATGCAGCGAGTGGGGAGGATTGACATCTGCTGGAGCTGTCCATAGATGGTGAGTGTGTGCATCTCATTGCGCATGCGTAAAGTTGCACAAGTAGACCGGCTGAAAAGTCTTTTCTGATTTCCTAAATATTTTTTGGGGCCTAAAAACATACAGTATACTTTTGCATACGTTTATTTGTTGAAGAGAATCCTTTACTTTGAAAAGGGTCGGAAAAATAATTAACTTTTCTTAGCGTTTCACTAAGTATCGCCGGATATTCTGGAATGTTAAGCAGGCTTTCAATTCAAGCAAGCACCATGAAACGTAGTTCAAACAACCTCTATGTTACTCAAATGTTTTTAAAAAAATTAACTTCAGGTATAGCCAAGTCTGTTATTTTAACTGGAGCAAGAGCGCCATTCAACCCGAAGCCAAGAATTTCATGCAGTTAATATGGAAAGGAACCAGTCACATGGGAATAGGAAGGGCATTTGGCAAACGCCGTGGCCTACCCTGCACTTTCATCGTAGCACGCTACAGACCTGGTGTGATGAATGCATTCGAAATGGACAGTAACGTAGATAAGGGTTCATTCCTGTCTTCATATTGTAATGCGGATAAGGACGAAGGCTTAATGTCAACAGGATATCCAAGTACATTTTTCCAGGAGGGAGCTACTAAACAAGATAACCAACCATTTCCTGAAGCTCAACCTCTTGGTAGTTTCCAATACACCGCAGTTCCTCCAAGTAGCGTATCGTTCGTCCCTCTGGGTCCATGGGAAAAAATTATGGATACACAAGATGTGCGAGACTTATCGCGGGTACAACCCAACACCAAGACACTTTACAGTTTGTCACCTCGTGTAAATTTACCAGAAGCTACCCTTGACGACGATATGGACAATGAGGATGATGCCTCGATCACGGGAGATGATGATGACTGGAGGAGGACATATAAGTCACCCACGGATAATGATGACATAGTCATTGATGCAAAGAAGTCTACAATAAAGAAGACAGAAAAAACCTCTCGAAGAAAGGAATGAACATTAAAGGCAAAGACAGTTTAATATACACTAAATGTATGGTCCCAAGGGAAACAGTTTTTGTTTCGAGGGAAAACAAAACTAACTAGTTTCCCGCGGGATCATACATTAAGTGCTTTGTTATATATTTAGACTTTCCCTCAAACAATCATATGGCAAAAACAAACAAACAAAAACCGCACAACTTCTTTACTAACAATCGTCAATCCTGCTGAATGAATAAGTCCTAACTTAACTTCAAATGTTTCGAAGTACATGGAAAAGTAAAACATGCTTTTTATAACCTCAATAAGGAATACAAAATCATTTGGAATTGTAACAATTGAAGGTAACATTTGCTCCAGAATAAACTTTAATATTGTTTTATTCGGCGCGCGGGCAACAACTGCGCAATTGTATCCCGGTCGGGATCTATTTGAAGTTGATCAGTAGCACGTGACCAAGAATCAACCAATCACCGTGCTCGTTTTGTTGGGGAAAGTCTAGGTATATAACAACAACAATTATGACCGTACTGGAGCCCTTATGATCACGTGGTTAGCTAGGCGTCAAAACATTCTAAATTTGTTCACAAGTGATCTCTTAAATCATCACTAAGATTTTATTCTTTTGCTAGGCATAATATTCAAGGAGCAAACTTTCGCCATGGGCCAAATTTGATTCCAAACCTATACGACAGAAACTTTCAACTCCCTCAAAGGAATCCTATCAAAACCTTTATATTACTTACCTCTGAGGTTATAGCGGCAGGCTGTAGACTACATTGTACGTTAACATGCTCTAAATTAAATAAGTGAAAGAAACTGTGGTTCTGCGTTGGTGGGGTGTATTATTAGATAATTTTGTTTTACTGAGTCAATCAGTATGTGAATGAAAGTGATCCTCGCAGTAATGCACACTACTTGAGCAGTAGTGAAAATGAGGCCTTATAAAAATTCAAGCCTGTACGGAATTTGAACCCAT